GACAAAAACAAAAATAAAACATCAAAAAGACAAAAAAACAACAATCAGCTTATATACATTTTATATAAGGAGAGAACACTTAAAAATCTATATTCTCCACAGTTTTCTCTTTTAAAATGTTTCTTTTTATTTTATTGTTGCTATTAGGGAATTTTGTTCAATGTGTTTTGAATATATTCATCCATGTACGACTTCCTCCCCAGTCTAATCTCCCTTTCCTGACAACACAACAGTGTATCATTGCATCATTTTAACCCATCAAGTTCTATTTGTGCTAAACATATATTCTTGAATGTGTTGCCTTCCATTAGAGTGTAGCAGGCTTATCAGCTGCTGTTCCTGAAGAAAGTTGACTCTTACTCTTCCTGCAGCTATCAGACTCCAATAACTCTTGGTTAAGGTAGAACTTTGTATTCAACTCCACTTTTTAGATGTGGAATATTGTGTACCTTGAGTTTGCACTCATCTTATGCATGATGTCGCAATCACTGTGGAACTACCCTGTTGTGTCAAGAAGAGAGTCATCTACCACTTCTGGTTCTTAAACTCTCTGTACTCCTTCTTCCACAATGGTTACTGTAACTTGGGAGGAGGGATTGTGATATAGAAGTCCCACTTAAGAATAAAAATTCTATATTCTCTTCCTCTCTTCACTTTTCTGTTATGTATCTCTGTGTTAGCAATCATCTATGGTAAATAGATGCCCCTCTGATAAAGGTTCACTGATGAATTAATCTTTTATGATAATAAGTCACTAGGAGTCAGTTTAAAATTGTTTATAATTAGTATAATAATAATAGCATGTTTTCCCCTAAGTTCTGTCTATGAACTGTTTAGATGTAGGTGCCTAGTCCTGATAATGCTAGTTATAGCTTTTGCTTTGTGGCATAAAACCTAAAGTCAATAAAAAGTGATTGGTCATTTCCCTGACCTTTATGCGACTGTTGCATGAATGGTCATATTTTGCCAGGTTAATCATTATTAGAGCTCACAGGGTTCATAGCTGGATTTGACTGATATTTAATTTTGTACTTTGAAAGCTTACAAAGCATCTTCCAGAACTACAAAAACTAGAGAGTAGTGATGAACCTTCTATGTCAATAGCAGATTGGCTTCACCATATTCTATGATGAAAATATGTGGTATCTTCATGAACAGCATCTTATAGTCAAGTTATCTGGGGTAAGCAAGAACAATGTCAATAGCCTCTAATGATTGGGAGTCTTTATGTCCTCACTCTTCAGAAACTTAAAAAGACATAATCAGATCTGTGCACTGGGGAAATATTTGTTAGCCTAAGATATCTAGTAGGGATATTGTTATTCTATTACTGAGAACCCCATTTAAACTCCATATATGTATGTGAGCAGATATATTTTGGAAAGCTTCTATGGTAGTATGTGTCTTAGTTAAGGTTCCTATTGCTGTGAAAAATCACCATGATCACAGCAACTCTTATAAAGGAAAACATTTAACTAGGGTGACTTACATTTTCAGTGGTTTAGTCCTTTACCACCATGGTGCAACATGTTGACATGCAGGAAAATGTGATGCTGGAGAAGGAACTGAGAGTATTATATCTTGATCCTCAGGAAGAAAGAAGTAGTTTGAGACACTGGGCATATCTTGAGCATAGAAGACTTCAAAGCCCACTCCCACTGTTACAAACTTCCTCCAACATGGCCCCACCTACTCCAACAAAGACATCTCTTATAATAGTGCCATTCCCAATGAGCTTATGGGAGCCAGTCACATTCAAATTACCACATTAATTCTCTGGGCCCCAAGATCATGTAACAGTATCGTTGTGCAAAATGTATTTAGTCCAACTTCAAAAGTCTGCATGGAGCCAGGCTTTGGTGGCACACTCCTTTAATCCCAGCACTCGGGAGGCAGAGGCAGGTGTATCTCTGTGAGTTCAAGACCAGCCTGGTCTACAAGAGCTAGTTCCAGGACAGCCTCCAAAAGCCACAGAGAAACCCTGTTTCGAAAACACATACACACTCACACACGCACACAGACACACACTCACGCACACACACACACACACACACACAATCTGAAAGGTCTGTTATAGTCTCAAAAATATTTTAAATTCCAAAATATAATCACTTATAACATAAAAATGAAAAACAGATCACGTACTTGCAGTATATAATGGCCTAGGATATACATTACCACTCCAAAGTGAAGGGAATAGAGCAAAGTGAGGAAATACTGGACTAAAGCAAGACCAAAAACCAGATGGGCAAACTCCTAACACTGTATCTCCATATCTGATGTCTAAACTCTCTTCAGATCTCCAATTCCTATCCACTTTGTTGACTTCAACAAGCTTTTTCTCTTGGTCAGGTTCTATTCCCTGTTCGCAACTTTTCTCAGCAGGTGTCCCATAGCTCTGGCATCTATAACATCTTGGAACCTTAATGATAATCCAAGATACAACTTCACAGCTTGACCCAATGTCTTCTCTAGGCCTTCATTCAACTCTGACACATCCATGGCTTCAGTGGCATTCCATAGTAGGGAAGAATATTGGACAACCCCTTTCTTTTATCCTTAAAGCCAGTAGAAGCACATGGTTAAATTTGCCAAGATTTGCTGCTTAGTGAGGCCAAAACATGTCCCTATCATTCAATTACATCTTTGCTACCTTTCTGTTTTGGGTGGTTTTTTCCTTCACTGCCTAATGCTTGGCTGTCCTGAAACTGAATATGTAAACCAGGCTGACTTCAAACTCGGAGATACACCTGTCTTGGCCTCTGGAGTATTGAGATTAAAGGACACTCGAGTTTCATTGAAAGGGAGTAGTGAAATTCTAGTCCCTTCCTTCCCAAAGTTCACCCCCTATGATAGACCTCTTCTGAAAGTGCTATACCTCCTAGTCATTCCCAAACTGTTTCATCAACTAGCAACCATATACAGAAATATATGATCCTGGGGGGAGGCATTCTCATTCAAATCACCATAATTGTAGTATAGTTTTCAAATTTTGTAGGTATATCAATTTACTCTTTATTAATAGATCCTTAATTTTATTTTATTTATAAAATTCCTGGATAGAGGAAACTGCATTCTTTAGAACCCTTTGGTTACATGCTATAACATGTCATGCTGGTCTGACCAATGAGATTGAAGTAGAATTTTACACTGTGGAATTTCCAAGCCAACCGCTGTTTACCTTGAAACAGAGATGTAATGTTAAGAGTGTGTTCTCTTTAGTCCTGATCAGTTGGATATAGCTTAATGAAAATTAGTAATCTTCTTTGAGGACCATTAAGGTAAGGACTGTACATTGCCTCCCAAGGTTGTGTAGACTTGTGACAGCTGAAAGAAATGATTTGTCTCTTTAAGGGGCCCTTCCCTCTTTACCCAACTTTGTGATTATGAAAGCATATTACTAATTACTCATAACATAAGTGATGAAATGTTTCACCTAATGTCACCAACTTAAAAAAAGCAAGCACAGAAATCTATTAAAGAAAGATTATTAGAGCAAGAGGGCCAGGAAGCCTGCTGTGAGATTGTATGCCTTTAAACCCATAAAATCTCAACAACATGGCTGCCCCAACAAGATTTAGAAATTCCAGCAAGGGTTGACATGCCAATAGAAACTGGTCAAATCTCCTGAGGCCCTCACGCCCAGGTGAATTAATGCAAGCAAGTAACAATTACTGAGAGACTGAGAATTAGTTTTCCCCTGAAATAAGTAAGCCCTGTGATTGGTTTCCCAGGACTGAGTGATCAGTCCTAGAATCATGTATATAAAGACAGAATTGAATAAACTCAGCAGGTTTATTTTAATACTTTTCTTCATATAGATATGTAAGAAAAATGGTTAAGGAAAAGAAGGACATGATGTGGTACGGAGTGGAGATGGGAGGGGTAGGAGGAAGGAGATGGAAATGGAGATGATATTTTAAACTATGTTTTATAAAGCTTTTGAATGTAAACAAATATGAAATTGATAAAGTATGCTAAACACAATGAGGTGTATATATATATGTAAAACCTGATAATTTTACCTTAACATTTTCATTTTTGACTCTGTAAAAAAATGTTTACTCTAGACACAGGCAAAGTTGTTTTAAGCTGGGTGTATAAGATACGGACATGATAATTTGGAAGCAGACACAATTATGTTTAATTATAGACTATATTACTAAGACATTATGAGTCATGAACATAGTATTGTTTTATATATCTTTATATAGATTCAAAAGAAAACAATGTTTATAAAACATTTAGTCAAATGTCTGAAATAAATATTAAGAAACTATGTGTTGAGCTAAGACCATTTTGGCCCTAACCTATGTAGTTTCTTTGCACATATTAGGAAAATTATATATCATTCATGTGAGATTTATGTGAGATTTCACTCTTCCGAGGTCATGCTTGGCAACCTTCAGGAACCCTTCTGAAAATTCAGTGTAGTGTGTTTTCCTAGCAGCTGCATCTTTCCACTGGAATTCTTAGCTGACCAGTTAAGTTTAGACACCAACTTGCTCGAACTCCCGGGTGTCCTTGTAATGAATAACTTGTATAACATCCAACTGTATCTCAATTTATATCCAGTGTAGGCATGTTAACAAATGTTAACGAATTTTTTACTAGACAAACACAATATTTTCTATGAAGGGAGTTCTATTGACTACATTTCACTGCTCATATTAAAATTTATGGTAGAGACTCCTTACAGAAATAAGAGGCAAGTCTCAATTTCTCTATTTTAAGACCATGCTTCCATAGTCCTACTCTACTCTTTAATCCATATAATCCAAGTAGCACATTCTAAATTTTAGAGGTAGGCAAATAATTTCAAAGTCATATATATGAAAGAGTTAAGAACATATATCCCAAATTGATTATAATATTCTCTGCATAATGATTTCAGATATCAAGAGATGGAATTCATTCTCAACTGTAAAACAGCGAGAAAACAATCACTAATTAAGAATCAGGAATTTAGCCAGGCTCCTTCCAGGTCCAGGCATCAGTCCATGCAATTGCACAGCCTGCTGAAGGTTACAGGTGAAGTGGGCACAACAAAGCTTAGCAGACCCTTCCCTGGGGCACCGCGGAGGCGCAAGTGGAAGCAGCAACCGCAGAGGCAGCGGAAGCAGCTCTGGCTCCCAGGCAGTGGTGGCAGTGAGGGAGAGGGTGAGGGCCGCAATTTCGTGAGCCTACCTGGGCTTCAGAAGAATGTTCTAGCTGGACCGTCAAAGATCTATGCCAACACGAGTCCGAATAAATGCTCGGGAATGCGTTCTGTGCTTCAGGAAGACAAGGCAGTTGCAAAGCACAGTATCAAATGCCTGGAAATACCCTTGGCTGAAATCTACCGGAAGCAGGAGAAGAAAAGAAAATGTGGGAATACGATCCGAAGTACTGTGAAAACCAAAGAGCCGAAAATCAAAAATGCCAAGAGAGGCCCCCTGGCATGTTTTCCAAACCGAAAATCCAAAGCAGCAAAACCTCCAAAAATTCCATTCTCATCTTGTTATTCCACCAAGGCAGTGGTTGCCAAACAGGCCCTGAAAGAGTTCCTCCAGAGTAAGCAGGACTCTAGGGAAATGTGTCAAAAGAAAAGGCAGCAGGATAGGAAACGTAAACGTTTCTACCAGGTACGAAGGAGTTCAAGGAAGAGCAAAACTGAGCTGCAGTCTGAAAAAAGGAAAAAGATTGATGAGTTAATTGAGAGCGGGAAGGAAGAAGGCATGAAGATTGATCTCATTGATGGCAAGGGCAGGGGTGTGATTGCCACCAAGCGATTCTCCCGAGGAGATTTCGTGGTAGAATACCATGGGGACCTCATTGAGATCATTGATGCCAAGAAGCGGGAGGCTCTGTATGAACAAGACCCCTCCACGGGTTGCTACATGTACTATTTTCAATATCTGAGCAAAACCTACTGCGTGGATGCTACTCAAGAAACAAGCCGCTTTGGGAGACTGATCAATCACAGTAAATGTGGGAATTGCCAAACCAAACTGCATGACATCAATGGCGTGCCTCATCTTATCCTCATTGCCTCCCGAGACATTGCAGCTGGGGAGGAGCTCCTGTATGATTATGGTGACCGAAGCAAAGCTTCCATTGAAGCCTACCCTTGGCTGAAGCATTAACCATGTGGCTTCCCTGCCTCCCTGCCTCTTGCCTCTTTCAAAGGTTTCCTCAAAGATATTTTTTACACACATTTACACTTAGATAATTACTTCAAATGTTTTTTTTAAAGTATTTTAAGATTTTTTTCATGTAGTATTTAAATAAAAGTTCCCAAGTTAGATTTGAACAGATGGTCTTATATTACCCAAACTTTTGTATTTCATTTGTTTTTGTACCTTTTTTACATACAAACTGAACATTTCTGATTCCCGAGCAGTTTAAGACTCAGCACTGCCTTTAGAGAATGGATTCGAACATGAATTAGGAACCTGGAATCTGCCCAAGATGAAAGCCAGAACTTTCCCTGCACCCCACATCCAAGCACAGGCAGGAGTGATGGTGCTGCCAGCTCCTGCGCATTGCCTGGAAAGTATGCCTCGAAGTTATTGTTCTCAGCGTCTTGACATGGATACACATTGATAGGTACGCATAGTTTTAAACAAAATTTTCGAAGTAAGTTTATTCCCCTCTGCTTTCTCCAAAGCTTATTGAGACAGGGGCTCTGATGCCTAGCAAGGAACAGACCTCTTCCACTGGCTTATGGAGTTTCAAGGCACCTCAAAAGCAGCAGTGTGGGCAGTTCTTCTAAAGGTAGGCAGGGAAAAGTATTGGTCTTCTGCCTGCTGGTTCAGGCCTCCTGAAACTGTATTAATTCTTTATAGAAATAAGAATACTGAATCTATTTAAAAAAGGAAATTTGGCATTTATATTTGAATAAAGTCACTCTATAATTTATCATATAGTTGACTAGTTTAAGTTTCTTTATCTTTCTGGGTCACTTGTGATGAATATTTTCACTTGTAAATAAAGATAATCCTGAATATTGAAAGCAGTTACAGACATTGCATAAGAGCTGGCAGACTGTACCCAATCAAGAAAAGACAACTCTTTTAATTGAATACCGATATATGGTCTTAATCAGTCAGCATTCATTATATTTCATAGGAGACTGCATCAACTTGAAGACGCGCAGCTTCATTTGTGATGTATTGGAATCCAGGAAGGACTATCAGATCTTTTCTGCACATGATTTGCTAAAGCTTTACCATGCTATAAAAATAATGACAGAGGCCAATATAAGTATCCTTGAAGAGAAATAGATGACTTGTTTAGCTTTGGAAGTGTGGTGTCAACTTGTCTGTTTGCCTTTAAAAAAATAACAAACATAACTGTGTATAAGACTTCAAACACCATGCTCTTATGTGAGCTCTAAGCACTACAAAATTGCAGCTTCACTTTTTAAAGAGTGCTTCCTTATATCTGCCACAAATACATCATGGTGTTATGCTTCCAGGAGCCCTGATTGTTGTGTAAACATTAAGCTGTGTCTTTGCTTCATTGTTTTCACAGAGAGTCAGGCACACAAGGAGGTTAAGTGATTCGCCTAAGGCAAAGTGTTGTGCCAGTAACAGTACTGAGAATTGAACCAGCAGTCAAGCGCTCAGGTAATGTAAAACCTAGATGATAAAGTCCTTTTGTTGTTGCTGAGTTTGTTTCTTACCCCATTTCTCTTTGTACCAAGACATCAACTATACTCTCTCCCTTTACGATCTGGTTCGGGGTTTGTATGGCTCTACTAAAAACACTGAGGTTTATTTTAGATGAGAGAGTTGGAGTAAAAACAAATGGAACTAAGAATCAGCTCATCAAAGAGTTTATGAGTCCTTCATAATATGACAAAACCTGCAATAAATAAGGCTAATCACTGTATGAGGAAAAGCCATTTCTTCTTGTACATGATCACCTTTGTACTTCTCTTTCCAGAACTTTACTTTGAGGAGGCATTGTGATAGAAGAATGAGTCCTATAAAACAAGAGCTGAATAAAAAGGGATCATATTTCTGCCAGTTACTGTGATTAAAAAACAAAATTAGAACAACGTGAGTATAGTTCATTGTTATATGCCAATAATTATAGAGTAAATTAGTCAATATCAATTTTTACTAACCTTCCCTCTAGTGAGATGGGAAATTAATTTGGAAAACAATCTGATAGTAAAATGAATTAAAAATCAATCAAACAGTCACAATATCATCATTTTATTGACTTGTTTTATTTTAAGACAGCTTCTGGCAAGCCTGGAAATCACTATGTAGTCATGGGAATCCTTAACTTACACTTATTTTCTGGAACATGACCAACTGTAATATTGACAACTAAAATAATATGCTATGTTAATATGCTATGTTTTATAACATATTACATAATACTACTTAATTTGATATTGTTCGTTGCTCTATCATGAATGAAAGACTTAAATTAGTATTCCATTTTACTTCCGATCTACTTCGACAACTTCCTAGTAAGTGGCAAATTACAAAGTAGAATGCCTCCTTACAAATATTACAGAATGCTTTCCATTATGCTAGGCTCTGCTCCAAATGATATGACAGACTTTGAAGATCCCCAATCTAAGGCCTCACTCTTCCTGGGTAGCAGAAATGGGATGGGATAGGGGTTTGGTGGGGGGCAAGGGAGGGAGGAGGTAAAGGGACCTGGTAATGACATGTAAAACAAGCTTGTTTCTAATTTAAATAAAAAGGAAATACAAAAATGAAAACAGTGATTAGTCAAATATTACCAAAATTGACATTTCCATTGAACTGGGAAAATGCATGACATTTGAACATTTTCTTCACTGTGCACATGTTTGCTTTGTTTATTTTCTATTTGTCCTACAAGAAAAATAATTTGTCACAGGAAGTTTGTTCTTTATCTATTTATCTGTGGAATATAAAGAAGTTGAAATCTGAGGTGTGAGCTATTTCTGTGGCCCTTGGCATTATTCAGTGTAGTCAGAATTGTTCTTTTCTGAGAAATAGAGAGAAGGAGGGAAAGAGAGATGGGAAATGAAAGGATAAAGGCAAGGATAGAGTAAAGAATAGATGGAGACAGGAAAAAGAATGAGAAGGGAATGGAAAAGGAGTTTGGAAAGGAGGGGAAAATGGAGAAATAAGATAACATTAGGGGAGATAGTTTCTCTGCTGCTTCTGTGCTTATCTGAGTAGAAAAATATGGGCAGCTGATGAAGCACAGACCAAATTGCTTCAAGGTCTTGTTACCTAGGCCTTTTCTTTCAGGTGAGGACTAACTTTTAACAGGCTTTCTTTTAGGCCAACAATAAGCTCCAACATCATAACACAGAGACTTCATATTAGCTATGAATGCTTGGCCTTAAGTTATTTCACTAGCTCTTTTAACTTACATTATCCTGTTTCTCTTGACTTAGGTTTTGCCTCAGGGCTTTTATCTTTCTTTCTATATGTCTTACTCTCTTTGTCTCCACGTCTGTCTGACTGGTAGTTCTGCCATCTGGGCATCTCCCTCTCTTTTTACCCCATTTTGTTATCTTTATCTTCTCCTCTCTCTTCCTATTTATTCTCTCTTCCTGCCATCCCTGACTATCCCTCTCTGTTCTAGCTAATGGCAATTCAGATTTTTACTAGATCTATCAGGTACTTTAGGCAGGCAAAGTAAAGGTGAAAAGATGCCACACATCTTTACATTATTAAGCAAATGCAGTATAAACAAACATAACACATCTTTACATCATTAACAAAGACAATATAAATAAATGCAAAACACATTTACAGAGCTAAAGTTATTTTCCATAGCTTAAACAGCTGTTCTGGATGTAAAACTCTGAGGAAACTTCAACAGAGGCATTCTGAGAGCCTGGACATGGGACACCCATTTTCATTGGTGTCTAGTTCTATTGAGCTGAAAACACACAAACTTTCAAAGGTAACATACATCTGCATTAACACAAGTATGGACTGTTCCTTGTACACAAGCCAGTCAAAGATGATTTTTTTATGTTTGAGTTAGGTACAATATATGTCACCTGTGTTGCAGTTATTCTAGGTTTACTTCTTTAATCTGTAGCCAGAAATTTATGGGCTCTTGCTCAGTCAAACCTGTTCTCTATTAACCTAGAACAAATGTACAGCCTTTGTAAACAAAATCATTATATCTTCTCCAATATAATACATTTTCAGACTTCCATTTTAAAGGTAAGGCATCCCTAAAGCATCTAGGTGGTTTGAATTCAGCAGCCCCTGTTACAATCTCGTGTCTATGCCCAGCTCTTGTTCACTTATCATACTTCAAAACATTCAAAATCAAGAACACATAAAAAAGACAGGATCCATACTCTCTGTGTATTTCTATGTTTATCTGCCTTATCCTTTTTATAGTAGTTTACTTTTACTTTAAAGACTTTACTTTGTTATTTTTAAAGTATTCAATTTTTCTTATGACTTTCTATACCCATTTTCTTTACTTTCTTAAGCCTATGAATATTTTTAAACACACTTCAATGTATTTAGAAGATTTTCCCATCTGGATCTGCTTTCCTGAGTGCCTGCTGTTGGATTCTTGCAGCAATCTCTGACGAGTGAGCAAAACTTTAAACAACTAAGCAGTAGTTCTCATTGCTGGCCCTGTCCCATTCTCCATATGTGAGAGATGAGCTCTATGCCCTGTGGGCCTGGCTGAGATCCATGTGCTTAACCAGGAACTGAATTCAATCTCCTCAGTTCTGGGATGCATATGCCCATGCTGGGGCAGGCATCACTACGCAACATGTTGTTTCTACTTTGTGCTGCCTTTTATTTTTCAGCTTTTTCAGTCCCTGTATGGAAATTAGAGCCCCATGTTGGAATGGCAAATGTACCCAGTTTTTTCGTTGAGATATCTACCAGCTGCTAAATCATGACACAGACACTTTTCATTATTTATGAATGCTCATCTTATCTTATGCTTGTTCAATTAGCTCTTTTAACTCAAATTATTCTGTTCCTCTTCATCTACATTATGCCTCAGGGCTTTTTACCTTTCTTTCTTTCTGTATGTCTTCCTTTCCTGCTTTCTCCGTGTCTCACTGTTGGCTTCCTGTCTTCTGTCCCCAGGATTCTCCCTAACTTTCTCCCTTGTTTTCTTCTTCTTTTCTCCTCTCTCC